CTGCCTATAAGAACTCAAAGTTGATTATTGACGAATGTATATACAGATACTTTATTGATGCAATTTGATATAATTTAAATGGATTTAGGTGTGAAAAGTGCTATTGCAACTCGAAAGCAGTTTGTTGCTTAAATCTATTGTGAATGACAGCAGTTGATTGATGATTCTGCTTGGGTCTTGGCCTCTTTCCAAAACATTCCTTTCATATCTTTACAGTTGCTCGCCCCACAGCACATACAGAGATCTCTGGCATCTCTCAGCATTAGCAGCATCCATTGCAACCGCAGCAGCCGCAGGCTGGCTTACAGCAAGGTGGACTGCAGATGTGGAATATAGAATGATTATTTTATTTATTATGTAGTGAAAAAATAAACTATTATTTCACACTCACTCGTTTAAGCCATTGCGTGCATGCCTCTCCCGCTCTCGCTGCTTTTCCCGCATGGCGTAGCGATAGGCCGCGTTGCTAATGAAGAATTGCGGCGGCGCCGGCACCTTTTTGCATCCATAGCACATATTGCAAAAATTTCAATTTAGAATCGGAAAAAGGGCCGGAAAAAAGGAAAATTTTGAAAATTCAAGCTCTGCTTTCGTCAAACAGAACTCAAAGACTGACTAAGGAGATCGAACATTTCGAAGGGATGAAAAGAGTCGGAAGCAAAGCTAACTGGATCTAGAATTTAGAATTGGGATATTACATAAACTGTAATACTCACATATGCGGTGTCATAAAATACATAATGCAATGCAGAGTCAGGAGAGATCATATAGCTAAGATACTTTAGGAAACATTCTCAGATTCAACTGGGAAAGTTGTAATAAAAAAGCAAATTTGTATTTTCTATTGACATCTGAGCATTTTATTTGTTTATTATAAAAAAGCAAGTCAAAGGTAACAATTGTTGAGTCGAATCCACACTAGGGACTAGTAATACGGATTGCCGCCCTGGCGGGGCTGGCCATACATCTGACCCTCGGGACCGCCTATGCCGGGGAGCGAGTTGTAGTAGTCGCCATTGCCACGGCCCGAACGCTGATCCGTTGGCGAGCTAAATATATGGGATATATACATATAAATATATATAGGAGCAGTAAACTAGATAATCCTTTCGGCTAACTCACTAGAGTCCATTGCGGGAATTCATCTCTCTCAAGACCTTTGAATAACGAAGTGGGCTGCGGTAACCAGGACCGCCAAAGGAAGCGGAGCCGCCTTGGCAGTTCCTGCCGTCGTCATAGGACTGCATCCCGCCGCCATAACCACCACGTGACTGCATATAATCTTGGCCCATTTCCGGGGCCTGTCCGTCAGGGGCTGACATTCCGTAGCCCTCCATCGACTGGTATGGGCCACCGCCGTTTCCTTGACCGTAATCCATATTTCAATTTGTTATTCTTATATTTTCTTTTCTTGTATTGTATGTTTTTTTATTTTTCCTCAAGTATATTTTTTTCCGAAAAGTGAACTCAAATTTAGATTAAAACAAAAATGTGTTTTTTTTTTGGCTCTTTGCTGTCCGAAACCTGAAATTAAAATGAAACGTAAAGGCAGAGCGTAGAGCCTATACAACTCGGAATCGATTTCATGGCTAGTTTGATTTGGAAATATGTGAGGAAAATACAAATATATAAAATCCAAAGTTTTCCTTGAGAAGTGAATGGAAAATGCTTTATCGACTCGTTTTAGCCATCTCTCCATCCAGATTGGATTTCTAGAAAATGGAAAAGTCTTGAATAGGTCTTTAAAATCAATTCCCTCAGATATATGAACTATTCTTAGTCATCTCTCAATACTAAGACGATTTCTATTAAATGAAATCTCATTCACATCATCTTATAATGGAATAAGACGTCCTAAATCTAAAACATCTTTCAATTGAAAAAGGGAAAAATGCCTAGTGAGCTCTACATTAACATTTTCCAATTATGAGTCCATTTCTCGGCCGTCTCTTGGCCCATTCGGATGTCTTATCGCCTCGGACGCAGAGCAGGCGCAAAGTTTTTGTCAAAAAAATTTGCCATAATGGAAATCAAAATGTTGCCATCTAGCTCTGCACCACAGCCCGCACCGCCTTCACAGGCTGCCCCTGTGCCTGCCTGCATTGGAGCCAATGAATATGCAGAAGGTGCAGCTAGTCGAATAATTAAAATCGAGCCGGTTGCTCGCCTGCCTGCTCGCTCGCTCGCTCGCTTGGAGGATTACGCCGGCGCTGCCTGGCAGATACGGCAAACACTTTACGGTCGACAATTAAGTGCGCCTCGTAATCTGTCTGTCGTAATTATGGGCTCCGCGGCGTATTTATCTGCTGCAATTAGCGCCGTGCACGAGTCGCGTATATATTTCACAGATCCAAAGATTGAATTGCCCAGACCAATTTGCATGCGCTCTGCATCGCTGCCTGCTCCTTGCGAGCCCTAAGGACACACCGCCACCAGTACCAACTCCTGCACGAGCAGCATAAGCAGAAGCAACGACTGCTCAAGTTTATGTCCTTAATTAAATTTCGCTCAGGACAACAACAAATATGGAATTGTAAATGGCAATCGTAGGTAACTGATCAGCTCTAGGAATATTAAAGATTTTAGGTATGCTCAGATTGCCGTTAGCTGACTTTAAGTTGCGCCTGCGCAAATATGGAATGTGGATTGAATGACTGCTTGTTTGACTGATTGAATAACTATTTAATTGACTGGCGGATTGAACAAATCCTCTAAAATGATTGCTTAACAGAAATCGCCCTACTGATTAGCAGAAGAACACACTACATTAACAGAATTATGTTAGCTAACAACACATTAACAGAATTATGTTAGGTAACAACCCAGCAAGCAATTGGAAGACTGTTTTAACAGAAATCGTCTTGATGAGTCTT